GTGACTCTAGCTTGATGTATACTTTAAAAGTCTTCTGTATCTAAATGCTTCCTGTCAGAAATGGGGGGTGGGGGGAGGGAACTTCAATGAAACCATAGATCTCTCTCCTCTCCTATTTAATGTATAAAGCTTACTGAGAGAAGTCATCTGATGACATGGGGATCAGTATCATTAGTATTCAGATTTTTTTCTTGAAGTATACTGTATATGGCCTGACCTGCTTTTAAGATTTACTATATATTATTCACTGCTATGCAGAACTAGAGCTGCAATGTATGCATTAGTTGCCATGGCTAACATACAGACAAGAACAGAACTTCACTACTAGACACAATTCTTGCCAAAGATTCAAAATGTATGAAGAATTGATTTCATATATTTTAATTCTTAAATGATTATTAATGAGATTGTTGAACATTTAATAGATTTAGCATGGGATCCTAGTGTTCTCCAATCAGTGGAAATTTTACTTGAAATCTAAAGTGTAGCAGATTATAAAGTGCACACTAAGTAAATCTATACTTCTGATGTAATTTTTAAATTCAAAAATAATTTACAAGTGAATAATTCATTTCAAGAATGAGGTAAACTGAGCAATTGATGTACATCAAATGATTTGCTTTCTTTTCTTATCCAATGCTATTTGTATACTAAGCTATAAGCCATAGAAAATCTCACAGGACCATCTTAAACCAACTTAATCTCATCCTCCTTACACAGTATGGCTCCAGGCTGAAAATAGTTGCCTGTTCAGGTTACATTGTTATATTTGGACAAGTCAAACTGTTGTTTATGATTTTGGTATGCTTCTACAAATCACAGCTAAACTAATCATACTTAACTGTTAAAATATAATCAAAATAATGTGGTTTTTCATTATATAATCCAGAAACAGATTCTTTCCATCTTCTAATGGTCATGTTGGAGGAAAGAAAGAAAGATTCTTATGGTATACTAAAAACATATCCATGGTTTGACTTTAGTTCCATATCTGTTCAATGGAACATCAGTTCCACATTCTTAAAACTTCCTAAATGCCAATTTTAATTATATGTGCCACTAATATTGATTCACCAGCAAGTCCCAATCAAAACAGTTTAGACTAGTTGCATTCCCAATAATGCAGGGGTTCCCCCCTAATTCAAAATCTGGTCTTCCTACACATTTATACTATAACTATTATGGAGTATGGAGACAATCTTAAGTCTGTAAAAAAATGTCTTATTGTGTTACTAAAATACAGTGATCCAGTCATTTTTAGAAATTTATATTTTTGCTTTAACTCAGCTTGGCTTCACAGAGCCATATCTGAAAAGGTTTAGAGCAGTGATGGCGAACCTTTTCAGTACCGAGTACTGAAAGGGGAATGCGCATGAACGCTTTTCTGGGTTGCAACCTGAAAGAGGAGCTGCCCAGGGGGCATGCGTGCCCTAGAAAATGAACTTCCAGTTTCCGGCATGTGCATCCCTGTCAGCCAGCTAGTCTTCCTGTTTGTACTGGTGTGCATGCACACGGGATGTTCAGCTGGCCAGTGCAAATGCTCACACTGGAAAACAGAAGACCAGCTCTTCCCATTTCCAGCATTGCCACATGCACAACGGCCAGTTGATTGTTGTGAGTGTATGCGCACCGGAAACCCGGAAGATGAACGGGCGATGCCACGCGTGCCAGGTGATATGACTCCGTGTGCCACTTCGGGCATGTGTGCCATAGGTTTGCCATCACGGATTTAGAGCCTTTCCTCATTAATTATTTACACTGAAATTGAAACAGTGTAATCCCACGTTTACCTTTTTGTCGCCTATGACTTGTCTCGTCTCAGAACTATGATTTATGAAAACACCAAACTATCACAAAGAGAATTAGGAGAATGCATCCTTTATCTGGCAATTGTTTCTCTCAGTACTGCAAGGTTGGGGTTTGCCAAGATGAAAAGCTCTCAAGTTGAGAGAAAAACAACATGTCACACTAGGGCATTAGGCAGAATACCTTTTACAATGCAATCACATATTTCTATTTGGTTGAATTTTTTAAAAATGGGCAAATGTCAGAGTTTTTTTTTAAACTGTTACTCACTCTGTTGACCCAGATTAAAAAAAACCACAAAAGTACTGGGACAGTTGAATTACTATTCTATTATTACTTTTATACAATTACTCATATGCTATTACTATTATTACTATACTATTACTCCTATACTATTAGTAGTATAGAACAATATTTTCCTCTTACAGACACTGGTCTGTCTTTAATTCCTCTCCCTCTGGGATTTCTTCTTCTTTAATAATGAGCAGTTGCACTTTCCCACATTGGGCTTTGCTTTGCCACTTTTCTCTCTCCAAATCACTAGTCTCTGAAGGGAAAAAAAACCTTTTATTTGACTTTTTCCTGTTATTGCTGCTGTTGCTGCTGTACAGCTTTCAGAACCACACATCCCTATTCTCCTCCTGCTTCTTCTTTGCCTGTTTCGTGGTTGCAGCTTTTATAGGCATCTCTACCATGCTGACACTAGAGAGGAGGCTCAAATAGGAGTGGGAGGAAGGAAGTACCTGCCATTTTTGTCAGCAGCCTAATTTTCAATATAAATACTAAAGGCACTAAAACAATAAAAAAATAAATTGTAATCAAAAATCTTTCTGCAACTGCTTTGAAATCTGGAAGAGGAACTTCTAGGGATACAGGTAGGGCCGAAAATCATTTGGAGTTTGTTTGTTAAGAGTTTGTTAAGTATAATTCATTACATTCACAGATTCATTCGTTACATTCACAGAAATTAGTCAAAATTACTTTGTAATGTGTTATTATAAACTAGTTTCTTTAGGCTGCAAATAAAGAAACAAATCCATCATAAATAAAACTGGCAAAGTCAACAAATTCACTAATTGTGAGATAGTTTAAATTTAACTATGAATGTCCTACATATAATGAATCTTTAACGCAAACAACCATTATTGCTTCTCCTAACACTGTTATTCTTACATTGTTAATATGGAATTTATAATTAATTAAAAGCTACCCAGGAATAAAAGGTGTATTTTTTGTTGCAGTGTTGTTTCTTAAATCTTTAATGTCAATCATTTCTCTATCAAAATACTGTGGAAATTATGAACTGGAAAACTCCGGAGAAAGGCTGTCCTTTTTTTGTTTTCAAGCTTGACTTCATAAAATCTCAGGGGATGTGCAGATGATATAGGGATATATCCCTAGGGGAAAATGTTGGCCTGGGAGAGGATGTGAGAGATGAAAACAAAACAAATGGGTTAATCACATATCTTGAAGCTTATTTCTACAATAAATCTGTTTAAAGAGGTACCAAAAGAGTGCTTCACTAATGCAAATAGCAAAATGCCTGGTTTTCTTCCATCCTGTCCAAAACTAATGAAGTTTCATTAGCCAGATTTATAACAGGCTGTTGGAACAAATGACCTAACATTTGTAAGAACATCTGAAATACAAAATTCATTGATACGGAATAAACACACTGACCTTTGAAAACTATTTCCTAAAGTTCCTGTTACTTATTTCAATATTTAAGGTACCAGAAAGCTAAAAACTTTACAGAGATTTGTTGCTGTTGTAGACCCACTTTTGGCAAAAGAAAGTATTCCTGGCTACAATTTCCCCATCCAGTTCGTCCCGTGAATAAGTCCTTTAAGTTTAAGTTATTATGAATAGCTTCCTCCTGTAACCTAATAATTTTATATTTTTCATCTGTGCAATTCCATCCAAATATTTTGAAGTTTTAGCATCTTTGGTATCTTTCCCTCACAGATTTTTGAATGACCACAACCTGGAATTGAGTTAGAATAGCCTTCAATAAAGAGCAACTACATATGGTGAGATAAAATCAAATACATAGAGGAGTCCCCAAACTATTCAGTTCATTGACCCCTTCATGACGTTTCACGAATAATACCACCACCAATGGGATAGTCCCATTGACCCTTGAGATTGTCTATACTGAGTCTTTGGGAAACTATGATGTAGAGGATGGAAGTGATAAAACAACAAAATTATTGTTTATTATGACAACTTATCCAAGTATACTTGAAATAGCCTCATGCTACTTTCAGATCCTATTATCCATAGATCATTGAAAATATTACAATTAAAAAGCCAAGTATTCCAATATGTGAATGTTAATTAACTAATTGAGCCAAATTTAATAAACCGAGCAAATAGTTTGTGAAAAGAGTAAAGGTTAAATGGTGATATTTGATGCTGTTGTTGAAGCAAATGGCAATTGGCCTCACATGGTGACATCTCAGGCTGCTTCAGTAACATTAGAACAGAATTCTGTACTTGAAAGTAATTGACAAGGTAATTATGGGCAGGAGACTGTGTGCTCCGAGGGCAGCAACTACACTACTCCCCTGAACTCGATATGTTGTTGTACCTAATGAGATCTTTGTCTAATTAAATAAGTACTATTTACTGCAACAGGAATACTTTAAATCACAAATCATCTTCAATATTGCTGGGCATCTTTAATAATGAGATGTAATCTGAGCCTAAATTTAAATTCTGTGTTTAATAAATTGATATTTGTAAATGTGGTAAAATTGATTGTGTTTGTATCACAGTGGTATATGAACACTGCAAATCTCAAATATTTATCTCATGTCTTCCTTTGTATTAGTTGGAATATAAGTTTTAAAACTATATTCTTGAGGATATATATTTTGTTAAGGAAATAAATATTTACTTTGCTCTTGTCAATTATTACTTGTACAAAATTATACCTATTTTAAAGTAAACTTGATGGTTTCAATGAATAAAATCTCCATTCATCTTATTTTACTTATTCCATTTAAATTGCATAAAATTATGTTTTGGCAAAACCCTTTATAATTTAATAGTTTAGTGAAAATACTTATGTAATTTGACTTTGATTTTAGTGGTAAAACTATTGATTTTAATCATCTCCGAACAAAGAAATTTCATTTACATTCTATCATATTTAAGAAATGAACTAAAATAAAGTGCAATAAAAAGTTTCAAACAATTCTATTATACTTTAATACTTTAAGAAAATAAACTTTAAATAAAACAATATCTATATATCATTAATACTCAATATACCATCATTAAAATACACTGTTAAATTTACATTGCCAACAAAAACTAAGTAGTGAACAGACAATACTTAGGATTACTTCAAATAGAAACTCCTTTCAATAGTTCTCACCTATTTGTACAAAATATAATGTACAACTTTCTACTGCATAGGAAATATACAATTGACAAAAAGAATTGCATGGGCAGATCTGGAATTATGTCTGGCACTTGGTTATGTTTTCATCAACACTGATATGGTATATGGAAATTTAAACTAATTCAGTGCTGCTGTGTTGATTTTCACTGCCTCAAAATTTCATTGGTACAATACCATCTGTTTTGAAAGTGCTTTTGTTCCTGTAATAATTATAAATCTAGTTTGTCAGATGAACATAATTGTCAAATGAAAATAATTATTGAATGTGATTTAAGATTTTCTGGTCCAGTAAGGTCAAATTGGTATTTGTAAAAGAACAATGTAAAACCCATAGTTAAAATAGGAATGAAGACTTTTAAGGACACAATGCTTCATATGCTACTGCTGTGCACCCATCCCTGAGAGAACAAGCAGATAGCCATGGAGGTCCTTTAATACAAAAAAGGTATACAAAAATAAGAATAGTGTACATTATTTGCTCAATAACCTAATGAATTTGCAATCAGGAATTCTGATAAAAAAGGAAAAAAATATTGTATGAGGTGTACGCTAGATCTTGTTAATAGTGGGCAACCCATTGCAATCCAAATACAAAATAAACATTTCATTTAGCATTATATTAAAACCGTGTTGAAAATTCTGATGTTTCCCTTTCTGTTCCAATTCAATTTAAAATAATGTGCTTTCAAATTTTATTTCAGAGGAGAGAATTTTGGTAAAATTCACTTGGGCAAGGAGTGTTGTTTTAGTCATGATGGTCACAAGGTATCTGTGAATGTCCTGTCTTTCACTATGTAATAGTGATGGCTAAACCTTTTGCCATCACATGCCAAAAGCGGAGGGAGCACAGGAGGATCATGTGTGGGCATGCCCACACTATGTGACACCCCTAATGCATGCGTGTGCAACCTCCGCCCTTGGCGCGTTGTGGATCCATTTTTTGCCCTCCCCAGGCTCCAGAAGCTTTCTAGGAGCCTGGGGAAGGCAGTGCCCATAGGACTGTTTTTCGCTCTCCAGAGGCTTCAGGAGGCTTCCCTGAAGCCTCCAGAGGGAGAAAAACGGCCCAACAAAGTTAATAAATGAACCCATCCACAAGCGTGAAGCCTGCACAAAGCCTAAAAATCAACCACTTTTTTGGTAGGATAAAAATATTTCTCATGACAATTATTTATAATCTGACTTCCAAGATAGACATTTTACAAGGCAGTTTGCAATCAGTTATCAAAAATCATAAATAAAAAAGCAAATAAAAATTGTAAAAAAAGATCCTGGTAGCCTTCCTACAGGGCAGTTGGTTGGTGGAATTAGAACTTTGGTAGGTGATAGAGCAAAGTCCAGTCAGAGGATGTCTTGAGAGTTTTCATGGTCCTTTCTCTTCATCTCTGCCTCTCTAGAAATCTTCCCAATGATTGCCCTCAACAATTACTTCATTAAGCTGATAACATATAGTAGGTGTAGGGAACAATACCCAAACTAACATAGTTCTATTTTCTTTAATGACAACTATTATAATAGTATTTTAATACTATTTGCAGAATGAAATCCTCAATACTAGATGTCATGCTTTCTGAAAAGGTATTGTATACTCCCTGCAAGTCCTATTATAAAAAAAGGGAATAACTGTGATTGGGAAGCAAAACGGTTAAGTTGAATGAATACCAATAATAGTAAGAATTGAGTAGCATCTTACAATTATGTGGTTACTACGTAAAATACTACAGAGCTTAGCTCAACTAATATTAGAACAGAATGAATGACAGTGATGATCAAAGTAATGCTGTAATTCAGCATATAGCAAATCTTTTAAATATTTGTAACTATATTTGTAACTAGATTGACTGCCTAAAAGTCTCAAGATGATATTATTCAGTCATATATATTGATGTCAAATGGTGATCTTCCACACATATCTACAGGACTGAGGAAACCCCAACATAAATATATGAATATTTTTAGATAAATACTTATGGGGGAAGTCAACTTAGCCTCTCCCATACACTAAAAACCAATAGCATATTAGCTATTTGAGGTGGAAATATATTTAGCAGCTGGCTGGTTGAGCTTCTGTATACAATATTCCTCTATGACAATTACACAGAAATATCTAATTAAAAAATCCCACTAAACAGACACAAAATGTAGTCCCAATGGTTGTAAATTATTTCCATTTATTATTCAAATGCTAGAATTTTCAGAACAAAATTAAGCTTTCATTTCTATTGTAGAAATATTTCAATAGAGCAATCTTAAATTGGTGTTATAGGAATAATTCAGGGCGGAGGAATTCACATTTAATTATACCCTATTGATTTGGTATAATCCAGGAAGGAAATAGTTTTTCTTACTGTCAAATACTGTAAACAGGAATAAAATAATTCTTAGACTGATAGTTATAAATCTAGAATATTTTCGGCTGACTCATGTCTGTTTCCTATTTGAAAGGGAAGCCCGGAGATAGAAGTGAAGAATTTCTGTGGGTGAATCCCTTGATTTTTCCTTCCATAGATGATAAGATTCAGAATTATCTGTGAAAATCTAATACTTCATCAAGGATCCACTTTTTTTAAAAAACTCAAAGATTATTTCTCTCCATGCTTAAATTATGTATAAAATTGATACTTCTTTTTCTTGTACTAAAATAATTTGCAATTTCCAAATGTATTAAAGTTCATGTATGAATATGTAGGCATAGGAATGAAAGCATATTATAATGCTTATAATTTTAAGGAAAAGAATCAGTCGAAGATTGATTTAATCCTGGACAGATCAGAGATAATGACTACAGTAGTTTATGGTAGATTAGAAGCTGTTATGAATTTTCTGTGTGTGAAATACAAGAATATATGGTTAAAAGTATTTGAAGTTTAGTTTTATTGTTGGGTTTACCTGATAACTTTTTAAATGGTAAATAGTTGGCAGGTCAAATTAGTTGGGCAAATAGAGCTGTACAAGTTTATAAACGGCAGACCTATTTTGCAAGGGGGGAAATTATTATTATTGAAATATATTTATCAGTAATCAACTGGGGTAACTATATATGTGCATTTTAATACACTTTTTTGTCATTTAGTTGCTTTGCTATTGTTTCCCTTTTTCTGTGGAAATTTGTATTTTAACTTTGGAAATATAATTTTTATTAAAGGAAAAGGAAGCATATTTTCTGATATTTTGCATAAAAGACGTTCAGGCTTTAACATGGACACAATTTCTGTTATCATTCCTCTACATCACACTTGTGTTTTGCTTTGCACTTACTAGTTATAATTTGTGGTAATGATTGTGTTATACAATCTGTATCATTCATTCTGTCACTAAATTATTACAGTTTCCCTTACATTTTACCCCAAATGCACAATCTGCATTGATAGATTTATACATCCAGTGAGTTTGTTTCTTTTAATAAGTATTTGTACCTATGTCTCAAACAAAAATATAAAAAAACATTTATGATAAGGATATCAACTATTGGGAAAAAGAAATTCTATTTAGGTGCATTTAATTTAGCGGTTAGTTCAGTCTTAGGATCAGACTATTTACCTCAATGGCAAGTTCTCTTATTTTGCTAGCATACCATTACAATCATGTAGTATTTAAGCCAGTTTTATCTTTTTAAAATCCCTATTTTATGTTTCTATTAGACAATGAAAGCAGTCTTAATGAATGATGGCAAATAATAGTAAACAGGAGTATTAAAAGGTAAGAAGCCCAATAAACAGATAATCATGAAAGTTAACTTCAGTGGAAATACACTGATTTTTATAGTGCTTAATAAATTGCTCCCAAGTTGAGTTTTCTGTAGTACCACATTCAGTAAAGAAAAGGTAAAGTCTCTTTTGAGTTAAGCTTGACTTCTGATAATGTCATATAATACTGATTTTAAAAACTTAGCCTTTTCTTCTCCCAAGTATTAGTTTGTTCATATTTATTACATACCGGTCTTTTTATCAGTCTATAGGTACAAATAAAACAAGGCAAGTTTAAGAATTTCTAAAAGTAAAGTTTAGTTCAAAACTTTACTTGGCAAGTAAAAAATATCCTAGATATAAAATATCATAAAAGTATGACAGTAGTGATCATTCAACTGATCATAATGATTAAATACTATAAAGTATCTAGAATTATAATCTGGGGTAACCAGATATGTAAAGTGCTTGGAGTGACTTTCAAAAAGAGCTAGTTACAATTGGGTATGGCAATGTTCACTGTATACCGTCTACTTTTAGGCATTTTTAAAAAAAGTATTATTAATGATATGCCTCATGGTATTCAGCTACAGTATTATATGAACAGCATATATTCTCCTTCCCCCCAACCCCAATCACTAAAAATACTACTGTGTTATAAAAAACCACAATTGTTCCATATCACATCTTTCACTATTCACTCCAATTGTAAACAAGACATATAGATTCCCTGACTTGTCCTGCTTCAGTGACACCGCTTAAATAACATAACTTTGCTAATTGTCAATGCACATTTTGAAAAAGTACCATCATTTCTGTTCTTTTAAAAAATACAACACATTTATACTGTAGATTAAGAAAGGAAGTTTTAAAAGTGACTGTGCGCTGAATGTAAAGCTTCAAATTCTTTTGCCGCCTGTCAGAATATCTTTGTCCAGATAATAGCGATAGTCACAGAAGCTGATGATTATCCTGGCAGATAAAATTCCAACTGAAGGTGGTGGTAGTTGTTTTCTTCCTTAGAAAGCTTATTTCTTTAGAAGATCGTCCCAGCTTTAGATGCTTTACTTATATTTTCGTATGTTAAGTTCTTTAAACAATATGGATATGTTTCCCTTATCCCTGCAGAAATCTGATTCCAGATTGTTCTTTCCACTGTTAAATATTAAATAAGGTTATGAATGCAGCTAATTTGCAGGAAATGTATATTCTTAAATTCACTGAATGATCACAAAAGCAGTTTGTTATTAAAGAGTGAAAATTATTCCAATTCTTTTCTTTCAAAATCCATTTCTACTGAAGTTCCTTTGGTTAGGAAATTTTTCCAACAATTGGGTTTTCTCTACAAAAGAAAAAAAGAACCTTATCTAACTATTTGTTAGAGAGAGCAAGTTAAAAATTATTTTTCACTTACAATAAATGCTGTGTTTTGAGATAACAACAAAATTTCAATTTTACTGATTCCTACTGAGCAGACTTAAATCCACCTGAATATCTCCCACAAATAAGGAAACAATCTGGATGAGGGATCTATTCATACATCTTAATTTTACAAAACCTGAGGCAGTTTATATAATTTGCATAATGACATTCCTATGGAAAGGAGAAAACAAATGCAAATAATGTATTTTCATATTTAACAGTTGGAAATATTGAACACTTCCTTTCCCAATTAGTCTATTAAATCATGGTTTTAGTGTATTAAGATTTGGAGAATGAAGGTTGTGGTCTTAACTGCCCATCTGAACTGCCCTCAGAGATAATTCCAAGTTCTAAACACATTGCATTCCCCAAACTAGCCATATTCATTTAAAATTAGTTCGGTATTAATAGGGATTGCATCTAGTTGTGACATATGTTCATTTTATTGTGGAAAATTTGTCATTATGTTTCAGAATTTACTTTCTTCCCAAATTACTTCTTGTAATATGTTGTACAGGGCCGGACAAAATCCACTTGCTTGATTTCTAATCACTTGACCCCAAATTTGAATTGATTGCAATTTATCTGCGTGAAAGATATAGTAAATAATGATATATTAACATTTCGTTGAACTATCTTTCACAACCAAACCTATTGTCATGATTTATCTTGGTAGTTATCTTGAACAATACATAATGCATTAGATGACTGTGTGGTCACAGAATTACATTAACATATAGTTGCAGTTTGTTAAAGAACAAGCCTGTTGTAATGGTAGAATTGCCTACAATACTTACTCACTGCCATATTTAGCACTAGATGATCTTTTTTCACGATAGTTATCATGATGTATGCCCAATTGTTCTACAATCGATATTATTTGCTGAAGAGTTTGGAAAGTTGCTACCGAATCCTCAATTTTGAAATCTGGCTCTTTCTGTGGACCTTGGTAGACTGCTATACTTCCACAAGCCTCTAGAAATAAGTATACATTAGAGTATTATGAAGTTTAAATGTTCAAAAAACAAACTTTTGCTGTTCTGTATCTTCAGACATAGGTTTTGCCATAAATGTGATTAATTAAAATAATGAAGAAAGGTATTTTGGGTGCATAACAAATACTGTTTCATGTTAATTAACTAATTCATCAGTGTAAATTAAAACAATGTAAATTAGTTGTTTCTGGATTAATAAATGCAAACTTTTCTATGAAAAAAATATAAAAGGATCAAAAGGATCACTATTATATTCCTCTTTCATAAATCTGTAAATTCTATCAAGTCTAAATATCCAGGAGATGGCGCTGAGTCAACATTTTCTTGATTTAATGAACCTTGGATCATCAGACTTTATATAAAATGCATAAAAACTAACCTCAAGAACCTCAAAAAGCAGCAGCCCAACTGGATAAAACTTAGTTTCCAAATAATGAACATCAAATATAATCACTCCCTGGTTCTACAATTCCATATTTGCTACTTGGGGAATGCTTACAATACCCTTTTGACTTAGTTCTACTGGAGTCTTTCACAAACATCACTTCCGCTATTACTACATTACTATTACTGAGCCAAGGTGGCGCAGTGGTTAAATGCAGCACTGCAGGCTACTGCTAGATCAGCAGGTCAGCGGTTCAAATCTCACCGGCTCAGGGTTGA